GACAATTTGTTTTTTTAATTTTGGTAAATTTAGTTTCCGTTACTTTTCTGAAATCATTTATTTTTAAGAATACCGTTTAAAGGTTAAATATGCTTTAATGCTTAAGAGATTAAAGTTATAGATTTAAAACATCTGTTTTATCAAAATATTAAAGGGAAAATCGTTTAAAAAATCAGTTTATCTTTCTCTGTTAGAATTTTTTTTAAAACATGTTTTCCATTTACAAATACATAACTTGCTCTACAGCATTGCCAGCACTGATATTTGGGGTGACCACATCATCCAATAAGAAAACCAAACACTTCCAGTGCTGTACAGCTGCCATTTGCTGTAGCCGCTGCCCAACACTGTTTCATTGTTCTGTTCTCTTTTTGCTGGTGCTGTTTTGGTTTTGGTGCAATTATCTATTTAACAACGCACCGAACCTCGATGCACACGCCTTGTGCACTTTGTGTGGGTGTGCCCAGTGCCAGTTTCATTTATAAAACTATGAGTTTGGCATTTTATACAACCCAACTGGCCCAGTGACCTATCGGAATCTCACGCCCCCTTATGTGTTTACCCTTTGTCTTGCGTTCTATTTGCGTTTCGTGTCCGCTTTAAATCGCCTCATTTGCATAAAACTCGTCTTTTACGTCACAACTCTCTAAATACGGAGGAGGAGCACAACACACCCATTCCCGGAGGAATCGTTGAGCTGACCTGTTTGGAATCCAGAATGTGGAAGTGCCACAAGTGCGGCAAACCCGTTTACTTCGGTGAGACGAACACAAACACCCACGCATACACAAAAAAAAAACACATACCGATCCGTAAATAACTTGTAAATTATATTTATTTATTCCCCGCGCAGCGGAACGTAAACAATCGCTTGGCTACGACTGGCATCCGGAATGTTTGCGCTGCGAGGAGTGCGGCAAGCGCTTAAATCCCGGCCAGCATGCTGAGGTAAGTGGATCACCTGTTGGTCGGTGGTCATATGATCTTCGTACACCTCCTAATCATAATCATAATATTGCAGCACAAGGGAGTGCCCTACTGTCATGTGCCCTGCTATGGAGCTCTGTTCGGACCCCAGTTGTTTGGCCACGGCACCCGGGTGGAATCGCACAAGAGCTACGGACTGAAGGGGGCCCAGAAACCAGCTGGAGCGCAGGCCAATGGCCCCTCACTCCCACGAGATCATCTGGAGTCCAAGCTGAAGGTGCAGTTCGAATTCAGGAAAGCCGATACATGTGACTCATTAAATTCCCTTTTTATGGGCAGGTCTACAACCAATTCTACGACAACAAAAGCCTGGAGATACGCAGCCGCGAGGTCAATAACCGCTTGGTGCTGGAAGGAGCACTTCGAGTTTATTGGGGCGTGCAGGGCGTGATTCACCTCAAGGAAGACGACGACCAGCGCATATTAGTGCGCAAGAGGAACTCCTGTCGCGTGTCCAAGGCGGCAAATGTAAGCCTGTTCTATAATTAACTAAGAACTAAGCAACTAATGTAAATTATACCCACAGGAAAGCAGCTCGGACAAGGAGAACGAGGCTAGCGAGTCGCTGGCTCCGCCTACAAGCACTACGGCAGAGGTGGACCAGCTTTCCACGGATGTCTCACTTTCTGAGAGCATGACCTTCGACTCCTGCAGCCTGAATGAGATTTCCGAATTGCCCACAACCCCAGAAGATGCCTCGGCCAACACTACAGGAAACGGCAAAGAGGTGACCAATGGGAAGGTGTCTAACGATGACGAGGATACCACCACAACGGACTCTTCTGGTACTCTAGTGGAGGCGCCCACGGCTAGCACAAGCTGTGTGTCCAGCACGCTTCCTTCCAAGCTGGACAATCTAGAGAAGCTGGACTGGGACGACATCGACGATTTGCTTCAGGTGGAGAGACGCCACAACGACAAGGATCGAATCTACGAAACCATGCCTGTCAAACTACCGTCGTCGCAGTCCTCCAGCGACAGCTCGCCAAGCAAAACCTCTACTGACACCACAACCACCACTGAATCGAGCTCCACACAATCGGCCTCGACCAACACCAGCAGCTCGGACAACTTTATGACCGCCACGGGATCGTTGACGGCCAATACCAACACGCAGAATACTACGACGGTGTCCACCACAGAGACCTCTCTGGACAACTTTGAGACTTGCGATGATATTACACTGAAGCCAATGGATTTCGAGGACTTTAAGCGCAGCGTGCACCAGGACTATGTGAACGGGACCAACTCCTTTAAGGAGCCCAACGAGGGCACCCTGAAGCGCAATCAGCCCATTGATCCCTCTCGCATCCACGATTCCCTCAAGCTCTATGGCGAAAACTCGGTGATGAGCAAAAGCTTTAACTGCGAGCATGCGTTGCGTTCCATAGATCCTGCTTTAATCAACGACACCATGAACCTGCGAAGCAGTGTGGACTCGCCTCGCTCCACGCAGCGTCAGTACGCCCTGCAGAAGAGCGGATCGGCCTCCGCGTCCACAGTGGCCAGCAGGGAGCAGAAGAAGCCATATCAGCAGGGGCGGCAGCTTTTCGAGAAGGGCATTAACCGCTCCAAATCGGGACCCAGCTGCTTTGTGTACTCCGACAGCGATGACGACGACGAGGCCACACTGCGTCCCCAACGGCTGGCCACCATGAGGCGTAGCGACATCCCGCCTCGGTACATCCAAATCCAAATGGACTGCTATCCCAAAGAGAGTGTGGCTGCCGGCAGCGAAGGTGAGTCAAGTCGTGCAGATGCTCCGTCCATTACCAGTGGAGCAGCTGCCGGCGACGAGCTCACGCAAACCGAGGAGTTGTATACGGCAAGCGAGGGAGCTGGAGATGAATCTGCCGGCTTGCACGTGACGGAGGATGGCGTGGTGTTGAGGAGACCACCGCGCACCGGAGCTGCAGCCATCAAGCGACGCAGTGGCAACCGTCGGTGAGTTACACAAGCTGTGATTTTCCGATCTGCTTTGTCATCCAAATACTTTTTCATTAACAGCTCTCGTACCAAGCTGAAACGTCGGTGCTCTATAAATGGTCACTACTACAATCGGGAGACGTCGTTCTTTACGCCTCCCTACGGTTCTCAAATGTCTGTGTGGGTTTCCTCGATGGTGACCACCACAGAGGTAATCAACTTGGTGCTGGAAAAGTACAAGGTGGACAGTTCGCCGGGCAACTTTTCGCTCTTCATTGTGCGCGACAATGGGGAGCAGAAGCGTTTGAAGGATGACGAGTATCCTCTAATAACGCGCGTCACTTTGGGACCTCATGAGGATGTGGCTCGTATGTTTTTAGTGGACTCACGCAAAACTGATGAAATCAGGCAAGTCACTCTAAAAAATTGTGACCGCATTTCGTTGATTGTTTGTTGTTCTATCTTAATGTAGTAATGAAGTTGCTCAATTTTTGAATTTATCGCTGCCCGAGTGCCGTGCCATTCTAGAGCGTTACGATCAGGAAGTGGCTCGCGAAGTGGCCAAAATAAAGGAAAGGTGAGTTTTCAAAATATTTTAAATACCCAGAAGCTATGTCATATTGAAAATCTAAACTTTGCTGCAGATATGCCGAGTTGCGTCGCCGTATTGTGAGCCGCATGGAATCTCTAAAAGTGCATTTGTAAAACATGAACGGAATCTCCGGCAGAAAAGCAATTTTTATTAGCCATAAAATAAGTGCGGCCAAAAAAATGTCGTCAGCAGCGCAGCTAATAGTATTCACGTTTTTATACAAGATATATATTTTTATGTAGGATTTAGAGCAAATTACGAACTAGCAACATTAGGCGCCCAGTGAACAAAAAGCAGCTGCTGCAAGTCGCAAACATACGTTTAGGGTTCAATTCTTCCCAGCCGAAAATAATAATCATTTCCAGGCATTTCCATTCGTTTAGAAAGCGTTTAAGACTTGTAACTAACCAAAAAATAATTATTAATCCACCACATTACCATACAATTTTTTGTTTTGTGTTTATAATCAAAATAAGTGCTTTGTGCAGTCACGTTTAAAGCGGTGTCATGTATCTATTGTACAATGTTTAGCTTTTAAGCCGTGACATGAAGCACAGGTCCTGCTAGTAGCGTGTAGTTGAAAGCCATTTTATCGAGTCATTGAACAAAAGTGTGAAAATCAATTTGATTAGCAATTGCAATGCCTGCAAAAAACAATAACAATAACTGTACACATACTACATATTGCATAACATGGACTTGTTGATTGAAAATCATTTGGAAATCCAATAAAATGTAAAGTTTTACAAGAGAATCGTTGCCGACGGAGCGGAGCGGAGTTTTAGGCCCCATGGTCACCGACAAATTCCGGAAAGTAACGCGACCCTAGTGGAAAAGGGCGGACCTGAAGGCGGCAGCAGCAGCGGCGGTGGCAAGTGTGAGCCGAATATTCAAAAAAGGCAGCAACTGGCGCCAGCCGTCCGTGCCGAAATGGGGATCAAGTGGAGGCGGACTTCACCACACCCACACAAGGGAGCGGGAAGGGACCAAAAGGAGGCCCTGTCCGGGCCAAAGCAGCCATCAAAGCACAAGTCAATGATGCCATTATAATAGAGAAGGAGCGCGGTGACGACGACGACGAGGACGAAAGTAGGCAAGCACAGGCTCACTCACATAATAAATGCACACCCCACACAGCGGCGCAGTATGTGTGTGTGTGTGCGTGGCTATTAATTTGAAACTAACAGAACCTACGGGTCTGGGTCCGGCTACAACGTGGCTGGGACTCCAGCTACAGGGCCATGCCAGCTTGGGCCAGCGTTGGCCAGCCTTTGAGACGCTCTGATGCTGACGCGCTAAATGGTTTTGGGGTTTCCCGGCCAACAGCAGCGGCGTTGGCCCGGTCCCGGTCCCTGTCCCTGTCCAAGTGTGCCAAGCGCCAATACATAAAAATCAACAGCCAGCGACACCAGCAGCAAGAACTCAAGTCGCATTGGGCGCCAGTGGCAGGTTCACGACCCGCTGCCTTGGCTCCGTCAATTATCGCCTAAGAGAATTTCGGGCAGAGCATTATAGCATTCCGCATTCCAGAGCACTGGCGATGGGTGGCGCGGAAAGAGAGTCCGGAAAATCGATTTTGGACGAGTGCTGGTCGCTGTCTGTTTTGTTGGTGGTGGCAGTCTGGAAGGGCCTGGCAGTTGTTGCTCAAGCGGCAAGGGGATGGTGTTCATGGCGAAGAGAGGGAAAAATCTTGGACGCATTGCGCATACGCAGGGCGGTACACTGGGAACGAAGGATTGGAGAATGGTGGGTATGATATCTATTTCTTCAGGTCCTGTTTTTAAATTACATTCTCAAATTAGTAAAAGTATTTGAAAACACTTCAGCGGTGCTCTATTTATAATACATTTTATTTAATATAAAAAACAATGAATAGTTTTCAATTATTGAATTTAATTAACCAAAATAAATATTTTTTTATTGTAGATGATATAAATTCAATTAATTTTCGTTTTCTGTTTAGTAGTTTAATCATTTAACCAATTTCTGATTTCACAGGAAAAACTTATTAAATGAAAAATTGCCTTTTAATTATATTTTAATTTCACATCCTATATGTTAGTAATTTACTTTTTGTATTTTCTGATAACATGACAACCCTGCTGGCGTCCAGGACTTCCAGCGGCTCTCTTAGCGCATCCTGCCGCTCTCTTAACCCACGGAGCTGGTGTCGCAAAATTCCAATGCTGCCCACCGCGATGGCTGCCACCCAGAAGCTAGACTCGGCGCTCAGTTTACGTTTCGGCCGCGTCGCCTTCAGTTTTACAGTGATTCGTGTCCAGGCTGCACTTCATCCGCGGAGGCGCCTGCGATTGCAAGAGCAAATATAGAAACAAAAACCAATACGAATACCCAAAACCGAACTCATTGTCATTCATAGCTTAGCGTAGTTGCTGCGTGATTGTGTGTGCGTGGATAGCGCCAGTGCGTGTGCGTGAGTGCGTAAAACCGGAGGCGTCCGTAGTTTTCCATAGGACACCAGCGATTAGGACCAGCGAGAGCGGAACCTGTCAACAGAGCGCATCGCTTGAAGCACTTCCTCCATCGCCACCGCTGTCATCTCCTGTTCCTGTTCCTGTTCCCGTTGGACACCCTTTAAGCAGCCATGAAGCACTCGCCGCTGATTGCCAGCGCTTGTCTGGCGCTGGTGTTGATGTCATCCAGCCTGATTGGCAGCTCGGAGGCCAGAAACAAGAAGAAGTACGTCGGCGAGACGGGCGGCGATTTCGAGTTTATCGATGAGGTAAGTCCCAAATGGCTTCACGGCAGCCCCCATTCACTCAACGACTTGAATTCCCGGTCTGAGTCTCCGTCTCCATCTCGGCCTCCCAGTTTCCCATTCTTCCTGTCTGGGTCCTACTTAATACGCCTTAAGCTGACTGCTGACATTTGCCAACGCTTTGAGGAGCAAGTGTGCGGGTGCACGGAGAAAAAAAAACACATCGATTTTATCTAGATCATCTAAGATATTTTTATCCATTGCCATCATTTCGATATCAAATTCCCTTATTCCCTTCAACCTGCAGAACTTGGCGGAGCCTTTAGAAATTTAGCTTTTTGAGATTTTAGTCTTAAAACCCCTTAAAAATGTGTTTGATTTTGTATAAAGTAGCACATCGATTTAAGGAAAGCTTAATTTATAATCACAGTATACCTCTAAACTAAAGTGATATGGGGTAAAATATAAAATTTCGATTTTTAATTTTAGTTAAAATTCACTATAGTTTTTGTTTTGTTTGTAACGTCAAGTTAAATTGATAAAAAAATAACTTACAATAACAGCGCACTTCTGAACTTCAGAGCTTTAATGAGTTAAAGTATATAACTGGTATAAATTGTCTAATTGATTTCTGATTAACGCTGATTCAACCCAATTTGTTCGAAATCAAAAACAACTAGGGTAAATTGATACCTTGCAAGAGTTTGGCATTTAAAAAAAAAGCATCGAAACGCTTAAGAAAAAAGCCATTTTTTTCGGTGTGTTCTGTGGCATATATAACGCAATTGCGCTTTTATTTGCCCAACTTTTTTTTCCCCAGCTCTTCGTTGCTGAGGTTTCACACCAACAACATCCGGTCGTGTTGTTTGTTTTTTTTTCCGCTTTACGTTTTCAGGCTCGAAAAAAAGAATGCGACGTGCCAATTACTCGCGCAAATCCGATTTGTAGTAGCCTGTATTCCCGTCTCCAAAGAGCTGACCCGGCTGTGCTGGGCTATCTATGGCTCCCTTTTGGTTCAGGTCTTTAGCACGCACCTGTCCGGAAATCGGAGCCGATCCGGGAGAAGTCCCAGTGGAAGATACGACTACGAGTGCGGGTACCAGGCAACTTAGGAAAATCAATAGCATTTGGCGGTCTTGTTGTCGTTTGGCTGAGCGAAAACTATGAAGTAAGCATTAAGCTGCTTTCAGTCGGTCTGCCAGCACGCACCACCCGAACCTCTCGAACCACCCAGAAACCCGCCCGAAAACTCCCAAACCACCCGATCCACACCCTCATCGATGACTGTTAGTCACAGACGCAACGTCGTCGCTTTCTGTTTTTTTTTCGCCAATTTGCCTGTATTATTTGCCAGGCGCTTTGCTTTCTCTCCAGCTTTTCTCTTCTCTGGACTAGTTTTTTTTTATACCCTTAAAAATGGGTATTACAATATAGGAGGAAATTTTGTAAAGCAGTTCATAAAATATTTTTAATTACAACTATTTTGGAAATAAAATCATGAATTTTTTATGGCAGATAGTATTTATGGGTCAGACAGACGGAAAAGGAAGACTTTATTATCTGGCTTTGTAGTTTTGAAAGAAAAATATTGTTGGATATCTTAATTTGTTAAGGGGGCTTAAAAAGGTTTAATTTAATAATGTTACTTTATTTCAAAAGGACATTATTAATATTAATGAAAATCCAGGTCTCTACATAAGCTACATATTTAAATAAGTATTTAAACTTCTGTTAGATTTGCAAGGGTATTAAAATTGAGACTTGCTAAAACTCACTTCCTCTTTCCTTTTTATTATTTCTTTTTCGATTCCGTTTGGTTGTTGTGCTGTGTTTGTTTTGTTTGCCATTTTGGTTTTATTTCTCTGCGTTTCCTTCCTCTTTCCCCGTAATTTTTGCTCGGCCATTGTTGAGACCCTCTCTCAAAATGCGTCTGTGTGTGTATGTGCTAATAGTTTGCTCTGCAAGTGTGTGTGCTCGTTCACACACACACACTCTTAGAAAAGCGGCCTTCAAGAAAAATTATTGCGATTCGCAAAAGTTTCCATAGAAAAAGGGAGAAAAATTCACGAAATAAGGCATTTGAAAATTTTGGCAGGCACCACATACGCAGAATTTTAAACAGTTTCCAAAACCCAATCCACATGTGTCCTTGTATTTGTGTTTTTCGTGCGTGTCACCCATACAAACAACCGATCAATTTACAGCCTCAGCTTTTGTTTCTGCATAAATTTCACTTTGATGTCCCCGAAATCTCTTTTTTCTTTTTCCATTTTATATTCCGTACGCTTAGTTTTTACAATGTCTAATCGCACATTTTCGTCTTTTCGCAATGAATTTTACTTTCTATTTTGCCAACTTTTGGCTTTTCAAGTATTCGCAAAATGGAATAAATTATTTGAAAAGTTTATATAACCTAATTTTCTGCAGTTAAGAATGAATTCAAATCGCACTTATTGCTGTGGAACTGAATTTCCGACACATGGCTGGAATTTTGGTAACGCCCAGATTTTCATTTTAATTGAAAAGATTCTGTGAAAACGTAAGAGTATTCTTCACAAAAGTTTGAGACAAAATGTAAGGCTAAATCGTTTTTAGCCAAAAAATTAAGAAAACATATTTCAAGGATGCCTTGCGATACAGGCGTTTAAATAAATGAAATCATATTTAGTGTATCCCCGCCAAAAGGAAACGGCCTCAAAGTATGCAGCAGAATATAAATAACCATAAACAGTTGACGTTAATCAAGCACAAAGGAAAAAGCTCACGGATACTCACGCACACAGGGGAAGGGAGAAAGATGCTGTAGGATTGCGTTATGATTTATGCATGGTATACATTTCCATTTCCCGGTCCAATTCGGATCCGTTTTGTAAGCTTTGCATTAGTCATAAAAATGATAATAAATTAGCTTAGATCGCAATGAATTCGCCCGATTTGCAGGCATTTCCGACTGGCTGGCTGTCAACTAAGCAATAATCCCCAGACATACATACCTAGTTTGGCCCCCAACCCGTCCCCCACTCTATATGCATAATCAGCCAGACAAACAGCCACTCAGCTTTGGAAAGTCTGAAAGTCAGTGCTCTTATCCATCGATTACCAACAAATGACGCTCTGTTTGTCAGCAGAGAATAAATCTTTGCATTGTGCATTTTGCATTTTGAGCGCTGGGAAATTGTGTCGTTGCAGCATAAAATAAAATGCGAATAAAATGTGAGTAAAATATAAATAAGCTAAGTGCCCGGGACCAGACTTCAGTTCCACACAGATCACACACAATAGCAGCGTACAGTGCGTAATATATGCAAAACGTGGCTCCCTTTGCTCCGCTATGTGTAAACATCTCAGCTGGTGGGTTTTTGTGTGTGAAATAGCTGCCAGCCATAAAGTTGATATGCATAATTTTGTATAAGCGGCACTTAGTGCTGCAGACACTATATAACTCCCATAGACACACCAGCGAAACTGAAAACTAAATCAGAATGGTGCGAAATTACAGCTTTACATGTAGCTGAAATCCACCCTCTGGCCACTGGTTTAGGATCCATCTTTATGGGCACTAGATGGATAATGTCTGGTCTCAGCTTCCGCTTTTATGTTGTCAAACTGTTGCATAAATTGCCATCACGCAGCCGAAACTTTGCAGGATGCTAACTAGGATCTGTGATGTGTGTGCCGGCAGGGACATCATGGCCCGAGAAGTTATAAAAACGGCTGTTAAAGCTAACGACATAAGTATTCGGCTGTCTGGCTATTTGGCTCCGGCATTAGCACCTATTTAGGGTGCCCGAACCGGGGCCAAATGGAGGTGTTCACAGCCGGGAGCTTAGCGAAGTTCAGGTGCAGACAACAAGTCGATTTGGAGAGCGCAGTTCGTTCCGTTCGGGGTTTCATTAGCATTGCAATTTCCAGAACCATTCCCACGGCTCCCCGGCTAAAGAGATTTGCATATTGCATGCCAGCAACCGAATAACAGCGAGGGAACTCCAGCAGCTGAAATGTCTGAAACCAGCAATTTTCTTGCCTTCCTGCGATGAAAATTTCCCAGGAGTGACACAGCTCACAGTCTGAAGAAAATATGACCAGAACTAGACATACCAATTTCTCTGTTCTCCCCAAAAAAAAGGCGAAATAAAAGCTACAAAAGCGAACAGAAAAACTTATGAATCCGCTGCAAAACTTTACTCACTTTACTCTTTTGTTCACCGGGCAACGCCCACGCCAACGCCCACTTATCAGCCTTGTTGTGCATTCCGCTTTCGTCTGCTTTATGGTCTCCCTTGGCCTGGCCTGCGTCCTTGCCAATCGCAACCCCTTCGCTTAATTTCCTTGTGGCAGGAGTCGAGTCCTGCACGTACACATTAGCAAATTGCCTGCATGTGTGCTACACGGACTGCCTGGAAATGGCAAATGGCTTGCAGCTCAGGTTAAAAAATGCTGCAAATCGCTTACACAAAGAAATTTAATTTCTATATTATATCCACTGGAAAAATATTAGAACTACAGCTATTATATTAGTTTTAACGCCATTTTTTAGTGACTTTCAGAAATTTAAAGAGTCCCAAATGTCTTAAAAAAATGGGCAATTCATTGTTTGCTTTTAAAAGCTTTTTC